TATATATATATATTTTAAGACTTTATATTGAATTTTCTATAAAGAATATTGAAATATTTGGGATCTTCTCATTTGTTAACCTTGAAAGTGTACATAAACGAAAACTATTGTTAGACAACTAATAAAATAACTATCATGTGTTACAAAAAAAATTCTCCCATTAGAATATTTTAATAGATCATATGCTTGTCAATCTTTTCAATATTTATAAAACATATATTCACTTATCAAAACTTTATCTATAACTTTAACAAAGTAAGATTGGAATAATATTCATGTAACAATTTTTTTTGAAAACTCGGAAAACCCGACAAACCGAACCAATCCAAACCGATATAGTTGGTTTGGTTGGTTTTGATAAAAAAACGAACTAACCCAGTCCATGTACATCCCTACTGAAAAGGATAGGAAATCTGATTGATTTTGTAAAATATATATAAGTATTCAATACAGAATGATCACAATCGTTATGCCGACGCATAAATAAATTTTTCCGATTCTATTGCTATCGCAGCGTTATGCGATCAATCAAATTAGATAGATTATTGATCTCGAAGACCCACCAAAGTATCTAAACCAAGATTTAAAGAGACAAAAGAAATTTGAGAACATTGTTAAATAGAAAAACCAAACATTTTCTTCTTTAAAATTCTGTTCATTTATTGAGGCCAAAGATGTAATTAGACTAGGCCACAAACCAAAGACAACTAACATGGTCAATATTTTATTTCTGCTCTCAACATGACTCAAGCGACAATTGCGTAGTACTTTACCATATATTATGATCAGTCGCAAATCTTATACAGCTGAAGGCCTCACTCAGTTCTCATTACTTTCCCAAGAGCTTAATTCAACAAACATTAATGGAGAGAAAGGCTTCTTCATTAATGGCTGATTTTCTCTTAATTGCAGCTTTAGTTGCTATATTTTGTTCACTATCTCAAGCTGAAGTTAAAGGTTCATTTGATGACAATTTTAGTAAAAGTTGTCCTGAATCTCACTTCAAGACTTCTGAAGATGGACAGATCTGGTATCTCTCCTTAGACCACAAAGCAGGTACTTAAAAATCATTTTTAACTCGGGACCGAATCTATTTACATCCGACAGCTGCAAAAAATGTATAGTTTTTTTATATCTTTTGTATATAACATACAAAAAGGTATATATATAGAAAAAATATACATTTTTCGGCTATTATTTTTAGAGCGGTTATACAGTGTCATTTTCCCGTTTTGAATCTTGAAGTCCTTGATAGTTAACTTTGATGTATTTCTTCTATATAGGATGTGGATTTATGACAAGGCAGAAATACAGATTTGGTTGGTTTAGCATGAAGTTGAAATTAGTTGGAGGTGACTCTGCTGGTGTTGTGACAGCTTATTATGTAAGTTGCAAGATTTTTTGAAGTTTTATGCATGAATAAATGTCAGCTCTAACAATGCAATAATTAATCTTGTAAGAAAGTAAAAAAGATTTAACTTGTATATACTGACGGTGTAAAAGTATGTTTATACGAGATATGAGTAGTAAGTTTTCTGAAAACAAATTGAATGGAATTATTACTTTCAAAAAATATTGCTTCAAAACAAAGAAAGAAGGTTTGTTTTTCCACATAATTCGCCGGTTAAACTAATGATTCTCTTCTCCAAGTAATAGAAAGAGTCTTTTTTCGTTTGACTTCTATCAACGAAATAACGAATCAGAATACTTTTAACATGTTGCAACCAGTGGCGAAACTACGAATTTCCCGAAGGGTGTTCAAATTTGAAAGAATGAAAAAAACTCCCGACAAAGAGTGTTCAATATGTGTTATATACCTCTAAAACGTAATATTTTACCTATATACACAGTGTAATTTTTTTATGAATTGGTCAATTGACCATCCTAATAAGTTATGACCATGTGGCTTCACCCCTGGTTGCAACAAGTGATCTATTCTTATTTTTCAGGTTATTAATTCTACTTTTTATGGACGATTACCTATAATTATGTTTTGGTTGACATGAAAGTTTAAGAATTTTGTTATATTGTTACTGTTTACTAGTTAAACTCATGTAAAATGTGTTAATTAATGGGATTTTATGTGAGTGCAGATGTGCACAGAAGATGGGGCAGGGCCAACAAGAGATGAGGTGGACTTTGAGTTTTTGGGAAACAGAACAGGGGAACCCTATCTTATTCAGACCAATGTGTACAAGAATGGCACTGGTGGGCGTGAGATGAGGCATGTTCTTTGGTTTGACCCTACTGAGGACTTCCATTCCTATTCCCTTCTTTGGAACTCTCACCAGCTCGTGTAAGTACATCTTTCAATTTTAAGTTAACTCAGCTATGTTGCTTGGCCTCTTAAAAAATATAGTCGGGTGTATGAGATCTTTCACAAGTAGTGCATTTTTGGAGAATTCAATACGGGTGCGTCAGTATTTTTAGAGAGTTCGAACATTATAGATTGTTAATATAAATCACTTAGGGGTCGTTTGGTAGGGTGGATAAGAATAGTGCGGAATAAGATGTATTAGTAATGCATGGATTAATAACGCATGGGTTAGTAATGCAAGTATTAGTTATGCAGATATTATTTTTTATCTACTGTTTGGTGTGGTGTATTAAAAACTATAATGCATTGCAAAAAATTTAAGAAAACAAGTTGTTTATACTAAGCCCTCCATATTCTCTAGCTTTAAGGGACTTTAAGGACAGTTTTGTCTTTAACCATACTAATGTATGCATTAATAACCTTGGTATTACTAATGTCATGGTGTTCTATGCATTACTTATACATAGGATAATAACAAGTATGATATGTAACTAATACAAGTTAGTTATACACAGGTTGAAAAAAATGTACCAAACAAGGTAGTATTAGTAATGTATAAAGCTAATGCTTGCACTATTTTTTTTAATACCTCCTACCAATCGACCCGACTCATCTAAAATTTACACATATTGGTTGTGCAAAAACATTAAAACACTTACATAATTTATTTGTATATTTGATGTGAAATGACAAAAATGCCCCCGGGCTTTCGAAAAAATACTCCTAAGCACACAGGTCGAAACCAGCAGCCTTTCTAATATATAGTAAATAAAAGATGATAAATGTGGTGGTGTACTAAAGAAGGTCTCACTATTTCTACCTGATTCAATTACTTGATGAATTAACTAAATTCCTCCTTGAAACATTTCAACCTACTTTGTATTGACCACAACATGGTTGTACTCAGTGAGTGGCGAAGTCAGAAATTTCTTCAGGGGTATTCAACCTTAAAAGTAGTGAAAAAAATTCTCCAACAAAGGGTGTTCAATATATGTTATGTAATTCTAAAACTTAATATTTTACCTATATACACAGTGTAATTTTTCGACAAAGGATGCTTAATTGACCACCCTTATGAGAATGTAGCATCGCCCCTGGTTGTACTTGCTTAGGCAAGAGAGTAAGAGACGGATCCAGAAATTTTAGTCAATGAATGTGGATTACTATTAGCAATTGGTTCAAAGTGCGAACTTGGTTTGTTCAAGCAAAAGGAAAAGAGTATTGTTGATAATAACATCACAAATATCATTTACCATCAGAGTAGGATTCAAGATTTCAAGTCAGCAAGTACGAAGTACTATTGCACTCGCTATATATTAATTCAGTTCAAACATAACATACATATATGCTTCTTTTTACAGCTTTCAGTGATATACACAATTCAACAACACGATTTACCAATAATGTAAATCCGCCCTGTTTACAATTAGACTTGACATCATAATTCTGGTGTGTGCAGGTTTTTCGTGGATGAGGTTCCGATAAGGGTATACAAAAACGCGAATTATACGAACAATTTCTTCCCTAATGAGAAGCCAATGTACTTGTTTTCGAGCATATGGAATGCAGATGATTGGGCAACTCGGGGTGGTTTGGAGAAAACAGATTGGAAAAATGCACCATTTGTTTCAACATATAAAGATTTCAGTGTAGATGGTTGTCAATGGAAAGATCCTTTTCCTTCTTGTGTTTCAACCACCACTGAAAACTGGTGGGATCAATACAATTCTTGGCATTTATCAAGTGACCAGAAATTGGATTATGCTTGGGTACAAAGAAACCTTGTGATTTATGATTATTGTCAGGATACAGAGAGATATCCAGAAAAGCCTGAGGAGTGTTGGTTAAGTCCCTGGGATTAATTGACCAAAATATAGATATAGTATTCTTTTGTGAGATGAAAGAAATTATTGTTTCAATTTTGAGTTTGAGGTGTAGATGCAGTATCATTTTGTCATGCGTATTTGATTATCATTTATTTCATTAATTTTAGCCTTCATTTTTGGGTCGAAACGTTGTGTTTTCTTGCTGTTTTTTCTTTTATTGGGAGATGAGAGAAAATTGGACAGAAGGCAACATACAAAAGATATGAAGGAGAGAAAATGCAGTTCTTAAAGTATTGATATTTCAACTTGAATTTGGGAATCAGAGTTCTAATTTGTGCAAATGAAAATTTTTCATTCAGATTTTACCTACCCAATATTGAAATCCTGCAAATAAAGCAAAATAGGAGTTATCCTTTTTGGCATATCCTGAAACTTTAGGTCAAATCCATTTTTGGATCACTTTTTCGGGGTTAATATGATTTTCTTTCCTATGCATTTCTTAGGGCTTTCGGGTATGTCACGTCGCATTCCAGATTATTCAAATGCTTACGCTGGATAGAATCTAGACGAAATATCCTTAGCAGTTTTGGCTCTTATATATCCATAGTTGAAATTTTGCCGTCCCTTTTTGATCGTTACGATCACTTCAAGTCGTAAAAAGAATAAAAATGTGCTCCATGTCCTTGGGCTGACAATGGTGTACATTGGTACATGTGAGCTCGTACACTATGAAATTGAAGTATGAAACTAAGGTTGAATTATATTAGTTGTCATTATTTTTTGGGACAGATTAATTAATTACGAAATAATACTACATAAAATAAAACAGAGGGAATAGATATTAACCCATTCAAACATTGTGAACATAAGGGGAATAAAGAATAAAAAAACTAAGCCTCTTGCCTTTGTTAACGATTTAAAGGTCAGATAGTATGATTATTATATAGGAATTTTAACTGCAAAATTGTTGTGTTTAGTGGCTTGATACAAGAAACCTAGGTAGACCTACTTTATAACCAAACTTCTTAACATCCTCTTGGACTTGTTGTCTAAATTCTCTAAACGAAAATTTCCTATAAACAGAAGGTTCAACAAAACTCTGTATTTCTGCATCATAAGATGGACATAAGAAAAATGCAGTTGAGAATCTCTCTTTAACTTTATTTGTCACAACTCTGTGTTCAACACTTCTATAAACACCATTGCTCCATGCCTGCATAATCAAACATTATTTCATTAATTAATTTGTAGAACTAGAGAAATTTTACCCCAAAAGAGTTATCAATAAATCTTCTTCCATTAAAATTAAACAATCAAGAGGTGACGAAATTAATCCTATATTTTTTAGTAACTCGCCCCAAAATGCCTAAGTTTATACAGGTTGAATTATGACCCGTTTATTGACTTGACTCTACCGGGTGAACCCAAAATGACCTATCAAACTGTTGGGTCAAAACGACTCAAATAATGTTACCCAACTGGTCAATATGCAACTCGAACCGAAACACATAGAATTCAATTTTGGAGATATGGATAAGTGAATTTAGAAGAACTTAAGCTAATTATTTAACAAAAATAATATATTAGCTTTCACATTTTGTTTGAAAAAAAGGAGATGAGGTTGGGTCATGTTGGTTTGATTATGACCAGTTATTTGACTTAACATGACACAATCCAATTTAATCCAAATAAACCTTGGGCAGGATGACCTATTTTTGTATGGGAAAATGATGTTGTATAGACGCTTTCAAAATAATAGCCAAAAAAAAATATTTTTTTTTGTTTGTTCATATATACATTTTGTATGTTATATACAAAAATTATACAAATTTTATACTTTTTCGACTATCGAATGTAAATAGTTTCTGGGCCGGTTAAAAGTGAAAGAAGCCCTATTTTGATTCGTTCAAATTTGACCCAACCCGACCCGCCCACTTGCTACTCTAAAATAATGTCAAAATTTAGGAAAATAGTAGTTCAAGTACCTGGAACAAATCTCCAATATTGATGACAAGTGCTTGAGGATTAGGCTTAACAGAAATCCATTTCCCATCTCTCAATAATTGCAATCCTCCTATCTCATCTTGATGTAATATTGTGAGGAAATCACTGTCAGTGTGTGGCATTAATCCAAAGACTTCTGGAGAAATAGGACAAGCTGGATATCTGTTCATTCTTAGGTAACAAGTGTTTGGCAAACATGTTTCTTTGAAATAATTTGACTTATGTCCCAGTTCCTCTGCTAATAATCTTGCTAATTGCTGTGCTAATTCAGATAATGTTGTTGCAAATTGTTCCATAGTGGAGCTGAATATATCCATACACCAAAAAAAAAAGAAGAGAAAGATACACATGATTAAAATTCCAAGCAATTATTATTTATAGACTCTAAGAAGATAAATTGGCGAATAAAAAAGCAGTTCGGTGCCCCAAGTATCACATGTGCACGTAGGGCACAGGTAGGGCCCACTACTAGAAATTCGGCAAAAACCGACCAAGAAAAACCGACCAACTTTGGTCGGTAAAAAAATCGGCCAAAGTTGGTCGGTTTTTCAAAATATTTTAATTTTTAATTTTTTTTTTCGAAACCGACCAACTTTGGTCGGTTTTCTTTGGCGCAAAAATGCGGGAAACTATTTTTGAATCCCGCAAAATTTAGTTTTCAAGAAATCGACCAACTTTGGTCGGTTTTTGCAATTAAAATAAATAAAAATTAATATTAAAAAAACCGACCAACTTTGGTCGGTAAATTCGGCAGGTCATTTTAAAAAACCGACCAACTTGGGTCGGTTATTTTCGTGCGAAAATACAATTAAAGAGTATAAATAAATAAAAAAGACAATCTTAAAACAAAATGCACCAATGGGCTAGTGGTAGAATAGTATCCTGCCACAGCACACACCCCGGTTCGATTCCCAGACGGTGAATCTTTTGATTACATAATTAAAATACCGACCAACTTCCAACTTTGGTCGGTATACTAAAGCGACCACCAAAATACCGTCCAAGCATATTTGGTCGCATTTTGGTCGGTTATTGGCCATAACCGACCAAAGTTGGTCGGTTTTTTTGATCGCTAAATACCGGATTTCTAGTAGTGGCCGCCCCCCAAGAGAGTGTAATATAGGTAGCCTACCCTAATGCAAGTATCAGTGGCTGATTCCACAACTCGAACTCTTAACCTATAAGTCACACAATGATAACTTTACTGTTGCTTTAAGGCTCCCCTTCATAAATTGGCAAATAGCATAAACATTTGCTATTTGCACTAAGTTACATTGAACCGTACAGTATAAATTCTTTATACGATCAATGTAGATAAAATAAATATTTCTAAGTTCTATAGTACAAAGTAATTAGGTATGTCTAATAACTTACATTATGTAACTGGATAGGTTAGGCATTACGTCTCCCTAGTCCATATCTTATTTTTTGGATCTTAATTTATAGGTAGGGGTTAATATTGGCGTTAACCCCACCACAATGATGTGGATTGTTGACTTAAAAAGATGTTATCAGTTTTAATTCTGTGGGCTAGTAATCTTTTATTTCTCCCTTTAATTAGCTCCTGATCCTCTTCTTTTTTAGAAGGAGAACATAACTATTGTAGTAACTAATCCTGGCTCCTTATATCCTTATTGGGTAAGGTGGTCCAGTGTTAACTTTCTTCATTTTAGGTTGACTACCTGGTCTAATATAATGAGGATGAGGGCCAAAATTAATGTTTTTGAGTGAAAATACGTATTTTCAAAGTTAAGATATTTGGCCAAGCTTTTAGGAGGAGAAAAGTATTATTAATTAGAAACAGAAGCAATTTTTGGAAAGCAGGGAAAAATAGCTTCTCCCCAGAAGCATTTTTCTGGTAAGCAATTTTGAGAAAAATATGCTTAGAAACACTTTTTTAAAAGTTTGGTCAAATACGAATTGCTGTTAAAAAGTGATCTTCAAATTGATTAGCCAAATACAACTGCTTCTCACTGAAATACCTTTTTGAAAAGCACTTTTTAAAAACTTAATCAAATACTAATTGCTGCTCAAAAGTGTATTTCAAATTAATTAGCCAAATACAACAGCTTCTCACTGAAAATACTTTTTTCAAAAACACTTATGAAAAAAACATTTTCATAAAAAGCTATTTAATTAGAAGCACGGTCAAACAGAGACATCTCCCAAAAAAACATGCCAAATGCATGCATTAGAAAGTATTTTTCAATTGATACACTTTCACTTTTTTGGGAGACATCTTACTATAATAGTGAGGAGCCCCACAACGTCAAAAAACCATCAAATCAAATTATCAAACCAGCATTGCAATTCATGTACCACTTCCACTTTTTAGGAGAAAGAATTCCTTCCTATCCAAATCGGCAGCACCCAAATGTTGTCGTACAAATTGAACAGAGTTTGAATCAAAAGCTGCTAAACATAATTAGTGGCAAGTTGATCCCCACTATTATCAGAGTCCCACATTGGTCATTAGTATATTAACTGATCTTGGACAATTTTTGCCTAACGAGTTAATTTTTATGTGTGTTTGGCTCAAGATCTATTTCTCATCATGAATGTCAGAGTATGACCCATTTTAATTCTTCATTAACAAATTTGGACCGTCATATTATATTACATTCACCCTCCAGATGTCTGAGCATCAACATCACTTGTCTAGCCAGATTTATTACTGGTCGTTGAAAAATAGCCAAGTTTCAAAAGTTATCGAAATTTAGCCACTTTAAATCTGAGCGAAAATACTGGTCGTTGAAAAATAGCCAAGTATGCTTGAACTCCCGTAAATTTTACGGGAGTTCCAGGATAACTATGCTGGAACTCCCGCAAATTTTACGGGAGTTCAAGCATAATTATGCTGGAACTCCCGCAAATTTTACGGGAGTTCCAGCAAGTATAATTGTCCAGTATAATATACTGGAGTTTGGAGCACTGGTGCTCCAGTCTCCCGCAAATTTTACAGGAGTTAGCAAAGTATACCGGTCCAGCATAATATGCTGGAGTTCGTACACAAATGCACCAGAACTCCCGTATATTATACTGGACTGGTCCCTGTTGCAGCAAAATAGTGGCTATTTTTCATTGACTTGATAAACGCCGGCTATTTTTCATTGACCAGTGTGAAAACTGGCTATACCATGATATTTTAACGTTGTGTGGGTCCATTTAGGCCCAAAAATCCAT